GTCCTTCCCCACTGGCCTCCGCTCCTCTCCTCTGTCCCGGGACCGAGCCGCAGTCCCGCCAGCCTCTCGCCGACCACGGGTCGCCACCGGGCACTATCGCTATCAATGCGAGCGCTATCAATGCGCGCCCCCTCACCGATGCGGCTCTCCCCGCTGGCCTCAGTCCCCCGTGGTCTCTAGCTGGCGGTGCTCGTCCTCGTCCTTGGCCCGGTCCCGTGTCCTCCTTCTTTCGTCTCCGTGCACTGTCTCTGTCTGTCCTGCTGCTGCAGTGCCCGCCCCCAACTAAAAAGTCTTGATAATTAAAAACAGGTGTGGGTGATTAAGGGAAGTCTCCAAAGAACTGATTAAAATGCATGCAATAAAAACATAAAAACACAGCAAAACACACGAAGAATAAAAGCAGTAAAAGTCCTTGTTAAAAAGTTCAATCTCCCACATTTCTTTGGTAAGAGAAATCATCACATACCGGGAGTGACGCTGCATATTACAAAATGTGAGCTGTGTTTACAGCATTACTGAGTCCTAACCAGTACAATAGTGCCATGGCTTTGGATATATTTCACGCTGTTCAGATCTAATCCGTTATACATTCGGGTACAGTCTGTTTGTCTCGGTGAATGAGATTCACACAGTGGCCGCCGATACACGCACGGTCCCCGGGTGCCGCTGGACTACCGCAGTCGCTCGGGACCAGTGGGACCAGCGGCACCAGCGGGACCCGGCTCTTGAGCTTCACTCGCGGCATGTACATGTGTGCGCGCGCGCTCGCGGAGGCTGCTCCGGAGAGACCGGTTTCTCCAGGCGAGGATTTATTTGCACATACGACAAATAAAGCAATGTACAACTTTACATTTGACTGGTTGAAACTCATTTTGCAGCATAGCATGTCGCACAGTAATGTTAACCAGCAGTTTTATACTTATCTATGAGCATTTTGCAACGTAAAGTGCTGCTCAATTTGTTTTCACGTGATACTCATTTTAATGCCTCTTATGTTCTACCGCAGGAGTACAGCAGGTTCACGCTGTCCACTGGTCGAGGCTCCTGAACAACTTGAATCAGGTATGAACAACATGTGTTTTATACATGGCACCTGTTCTGTTAGCACGTGTGTGATCTGTTTGTTTAGCCATTCAGAATAGCTCCAGTAGCATGCTTGATGGTTGTTGCAAGAAATCCACATTTTACACTCAAGTTAATTCTATTATATTTCTTGTATAATTCATATTTAGCATGCCTTTACTGCTAGATGGACAGTTTTGTTGTGGATTATCTACAATAAAGACCAAAAGGAAACTTTCTATTAATGTAAAACACTACAAGGACTAATTTTAGATATATTTCCTCTTTTAAATTTGTTCCATGCCAATCATGCTGTGTATTTATAAGTGCACAGACAAAGGTCATACTGTGCTTTTTACTTTCATAGTGGTCACAATTTTCAAAAACCTTTCACAGCCTTTTTCTTGGACCATGTGACAAAGTCTGGCGGCTGAACCACTACACTCCGTTGGCATCTCACTATGTGCCTGGAAGATACAGTGCCTTGCGAAAGTATTCTTATACTTGAACCTTTCAACATTTCGCCACATTTCAGGCTTCAAACATAAAGATATAAAATATATCTTTTTTGTCAAGAATCAACAACAAGTGGGACACAATCGTTAAGTGGAACAAAGTTTATTGGATAATTTAAACTTTTTTAACAAATAAAAAACTGAAAAGTGGGGCGTGCAATATTATTCGGCCCCCTTGCGCTAATACTTTGTAGCGCCACCTTTTGCTGCAATTACAGCTGCAAGTCGCTTGGGGTATGTCTCTATCAGGTTTGCACATCGAGAGACTGGAATTCTTGCCCATTCTTCCTTGCAAAACAGCTCGAGCTCAGTAAGCTTGAATGGAGAGCGTTTGTGAACAGCAGTCTTCAGCTCTTTCCACAGATTCTCGATTGGATTCAGGTCTGGACTTTGACTTGGCCATTCTAACACCTGGATACATCTATTTGTGAACCATTCCATTGTAGATTTGGCTTTATGTTTTGGATCATTGTCCTGTTGGAAGATAAATCTCCGTCCCAGTCTCAGGTCTTTTCCAGACTCCAACAAGTTTTCTTCCAGAATGGTCCTGTATTCATCCATCTTCCCATCAATTTTAGCCATCTTCCCTGTCCCTGCTGAAGAAAAGCAGGCCCAAACCATGATGCTGCCACCACCATGTTTGACAGTGGGGATGGTGTGTTCAGGGTGATGAGCTGTGTTGCTTTGACGTCAAACATATCGTTTTGCATTGTGGCCAAAAAGTTCGATTTTGGTTTAATCTGACCAGAGCACCTTCTTCCACACGTTTGGTGTGTCTCCCAGGTGGCTTGTGGCAAATTTTAAACGAGACTTTTTATGGATATCTTTGAGAAATGGCTTTGCTTCTTGCCACTCTTCCATAACGGCCAGATTTGTGCAGTGCACGACTGATTGTTGTCCTATGGACAGACTCTCCCACCTCAGCTGTAGTTATCTGCAGTTCATCCAGAGTGATCATGGGCCTCTTGGCTGCATCTCTGATCAGTCTTCTCCTTGTTTGAGATGAAAGTTTGGAGGGACGGCCGGGTCTTGGTAGATTTGCATTGTACTCCATCCATTTCAATATAATTGCTTGTACAGTACTCCTTAAGATGTTTAAAGTTTGGGACATCTTTTTGTATCCAAATCCGGCTTTAAACTTCTCCACAACAGTATCTCGGACCTGCCTGGTGTGTTCCTTTGTCTTCATGGTTCTCTCTGCGCTTTAAACAGAACCCTGAGACTATCAAAGAGCAGGTGCATTTATACGGAGACTTGATTACACACAGGTGCATTCTATTTATCATCATCAGTCATTTAGGACAACATTGGATCATTCAAAGATCCTCACTGAACTTCTGGAGTGAGTTTGCTGCACTGAAAGTAAAGGAGGCCGAATAATATTGCACGCCCCACTTTTCAGTTTTTTATTTGTTAAAAAAGTTTAAAAATTTCACTTCACGATTGTGTCCCACTTGTTGTTGATTCATGACAAAAAATTAAAATGTTATATCTTTATGTTTGAAGCCTGTATCTGATCTCCCCCAAAGCATCTTTCACATACTTAAGGTATGCGTGACAACATACATATCATTCATTACAATCACATCTTTGAAACACTTTGATCTCTGAAGTTTTCACATGCATATGAGGCAAAGTTGAAAAACATAGACTGGAAGAATGGAGAACACATATTCGCTCTGGAGAAGAGAGATGGTCCAGGATGAACCCCTTGTTGCAGATTTCCAGAAAAGGTGGCTGGCCCTGTTCTTTGCACGTTATGTGAATTGTTGGAACAAGGTAGATTACTTCAAGGTTTTGTAGTGTAACCACTCATGTGTCCATCTCCTCCCATTTTTAGATTGAATTGGAGTTTTTCGTGCCGTACATCTGTTAATCTCTGAGAATTACTCATCTCTGGAATTGACCAATATTTGGACCGTTTCTTGAACCCTAACCCTAAGTGTGCCATCCCGGGGCTGTCCAGTCTCCTCACAGCGTGATGTAAGTGATTCAAAAAATGCACACATTTTGATTTGTACGTTTTTGGGTCAAGCTTCCCAAGTGTAAATCTATTCTTGATTTTGATTTTAAATCAGGACCCAAAACATGGGCTTAATAAAAGTGAACCTTTACCTTTAAACTCATAAATGTTCCCCAAAATTGCAGTGTTGCGTTTTTGAACTATGAAAAACGTATACACATTCCATGCGCTGCTGTAATGGGTAGCTTTTCAATGCTGTGATTACCCATTTCAACAAATGTTGACCTTTTTCCAATTAGTGACTCAACTTGCCAACTTTTGCTACTGTTCAAAGATTAACAATCTGACTGTAATTGTATTGCGATGTTGCGCATATTTTTATACTTTTTGAATATGGAAATGGTTTTGGTTTCATTTATTTAGATCTCCAAATCTTTTCCAATCACACTAACCTGCTTAGTAAAATAACTTACATGTTATATCCCCCACCTGGCCACTAACTTTTATTTATTCAATTTGACCTAATGTTTACCTCTTTCTAAAACTCAATCTGCAGAATTAACTTTATATATCCAGTAGGGCTGGGACTCGATATAAAAAATTAATCTAATTAATTAGAGGCTTTGTGATTAATTAATCACATTTTCATCGCATATAAATATTAGTCCTGAGAACAGTAAGAAGTGGATTTTTAGTTTACCATTGAAAAATGACTAAGGGAAAGTCGTTGAATCAACTTTCTCAAGATTGCTCAGTTGATTTGGAAATTCTATTCATCTCAACTTTCTACATACACCGAATCAAATTATTAATATTAATTAAGACAACTTAATAAATTCAATTACAAATAACATGTATTAAGTTAAAACCAATGTTTATTTAAAAAAAAAATCATTTTACCTTCTGGTGTGTTACTTTACCCAATCCATTTTACCCTATTAGCAATTTACAAGACATTTAGCTGGAAAGACCATTTTTATTGCCCCAGACTTTATCAAACTGAATGTTATTCAATATTATTCAACAAACTCAAATAAAATGAATAAGTTGAATGAACAATTCAGTCCAAACTTTTACAATGTAAATTAATTACGTAAGTTGAATAAACACAGGCAAATAACTTGATTACACTATACAATTCTAATTGTTTGGAAACAACATTTTAAGGCAGCCCTTGGAATTGAGTTAATGCGGCTATTGCAGTTTACAGTGTATCCATAGCAACCTTGCAGATTTGATAAGATAACTTTATTGATCACACAAAGGGCTCTGTTGCCATGGCGACCCTTTGATGTGTCATTTGGAACACCGTGATGTCATCCCTGGATACGCTGAGATGGGACAGAGACCAAGCCTGGACCCAGAGCAGAGAAACCCCCCCCCCCCCAGACACAAGAGAGGACATTTCTCCAAGCAAAGTAAGAAGACAGGAAGTTTGAGGTAACGGAAATAAAGAGATCATGGATGTTCATGAAGAGATCTCTCGCCTTCTTGGGGTAGAAAAAACCCTGGAAGAGCAGCTGAAAGTCAACGCTGAACAGAAGCAGAGACTGAATGAGCTGCAGCAGACGATCCATGAGCGAGATGCCAAAGTCAGTGAGCTCGAGGAGTTCTTGGAGCAGAGAGACGCCCTGATCGACTTCGGGAAAGGTCTACTCCAGAAAAAGGACAAAGACACCAAGGATCTGGCTCGGGAGGTCCGCAACAGGGTCAACTTCCATGTGGGAAACCTCATGAAGGAAAAGATGGAACTCCAGAATAGCTGTGTCTTCTTAAAGAAAGACCAGGCCTTTCTGCGAGACCAGCTGGACCAAGTGGACGAGCAACATCAGCAAGATCAGGATCGAAATGAGAAGCTTGAGGCTGAAGTTTCCAAATTGAAAGACGAACTGAAGCAGCTGGAATTGACAGAACAGGAACTCACACAGACTGTTCTAGAAAGAAACGCCCTCCAGAGGAAAGTAGATGAATTGAAGGAGTTCTTGGAGCAGAGAGACGCCCTTATCGACTTTGGGAAGGATCTGCTCAAGAAAACGAACAAAGAGTTCAAGGATCTGGCTCGGGAGTTTCGAAACAAGGTCAATGCTTATGTGGGAAACCTCATGGAGAATTACATTCATCTAAAGGATCACTGTGTGGACTTGGAGGAGGCAACAGTACGTCTGGAACAGAAACTGGACAAAGCAGACCAGCAACATTTAGAAGATGTAGTTAGAAATACGGAGCTGGAATCTGAACTCGTGAAGTCGAAGAAGCTCCAGCAGCAGCAGCAGCAGAGGATCCAGGACCTCAAAAGAACAAGTCAGGATCTGGAGGAGCAGTTGGACGAGGCGGAGAGATACCACATTCAAGACGCGGTGGAAAACCTGAAGAATGTGGGTGAACTTGGAGAGACACAAAGAAAACTGAAAAAGTCTGAAGCTGAGAACGAGGCCCTGAAAACCCGTCTACAACAGACTGACAAACACGCAGAGACCAAAGACCAGAACAAGGAAGAGATACATAATGAGCAGGACAAGATGAAGAAGAGGAGCTGGTGGAAGTGTTGGGAGTAATCACCTGCGAACACCACTGTAGTGTTTGCATCTTGACCCGTTTAAGCTAACTGGTTGAGGTGCGACACACTCAGTGGGTGGGGACAGAGAGGAGGGAGGTTGGGGTTTAGAACGCTAGATTAGATTGACTCAAAACATTGTCTAAAGTCACCAAACCAAAGTAAGTGGAGAGAGGGGAGACGGTCTTCTTCTTTCAGGCGTGCAGGGTAAGGCCGTCTGTGCATTTACAAGAAACCTGCACCAATGAAAGAGGAAACATCTCTGCTCTAGCCGTGATATTTTGGAATGATGATTTGGATCAATGAATTAATCAATCTAACATGTTCTAGCCACTTTCATCCATCCCACTCTTCCGCTTAATCCATTTCTGCGTGGCAATGGATAAAGCGCAGACTTCTCCCTCCACAGACTATTCAGACTCTGGATCCTCTCGACGAAGAAATACAACCCAGCAAACATCTGCATAATGAAATAAACAAAAAATAATACAGCATCATAAAAAATTTATCCAAGTGTTTTCACTTATTATAAGAATCCTGTTGAGAGGGTGATAAATCTGCAGAAGGTTCTAAGTCTACAGCCCAAACATGTGGTAATCCAGCAGTGCTAGCTTTCTGTACTTTTTTGCCTGATCTAAGCCCTGTTGTTTGTTTTGTATTAGGATGACGTTTAGGATGTTGCGGTCTGATTTGTTTGCAACATTTTAGTTTTACAAGACTTTGAAACGGGGGAATGCGGCAACAGTGGCTCAGTTGGTAGAGCATTGGCTAATGGACCTGAAGGTCGTGGGTTTGCTCCCCCCACGAGACCTACTCCAACTGCTACCACTCATTTTCTGCTGTAGTTGTGTCCTTGGGTAAGACACTTAACCCCCACGTTGCCCGAAGTCCCCGCTGAACGACCAAGCCTGTGTCACCGCTGACGGAGCAGCGATCTTCCTGTGGATCCACCACCTGCAGAGGATCAGAGGGACTGGTGCTGTTAGCATTGGGTGCAGCTCTCATTGCCACCCCCCGACCCCAAAATGGACTAATAAAGGGGATGAAAATGAATGAATGAAAGACTATGGAACAACCACACTATTTCTATGTATGAAACACACAGTTCTCCAGTTTTAACCCTTATCTTCGTCTTCCACTCGTTTTCATATTCGTTTCTATAGTTGAACTTGCGGCACGGTGGCTGAGTGGATAGCACTCTCGCCTCTCAGCAAGAAGGTCCTGGGTTCGAATCCCGGTCGGACCAGGGCCTTTCTGAGTGGAGTTTGCATGTTCTCCCCGTGTCTGCGTAGGTTTCCTCCGGGTACTCCGGTTTCCCCTACCACTAAAAATATGTCCAATAGGTCTGGCATGCGCCTCCTGTACTGGCGACCCCGCTCCCATCTCTGTGTGGAGTGAGAGACAAATGCCCATAATTGATTGACTGCGGAACCTTCCGCAGTCAACCATTGGTTTTGTATTTCTTTATTCCGTCATTTTTTTTGACACGTTTCACAGCTTTCACATTTTCAACAATTTCCACAAGTTATACATCAAAACGTTCCACATGTTTGGGAGATTATTGCTATTACTTTTGGGACTTCAGCGATTTCCGGTTTTTCCGCAATCGGACAAAAATCTGCATTGAGAATTCTGCAATGCATTTTAATAGGCCCATGCATTTTAATAGGACTTCAGCTCTTTCAGACATTTCTACAGTTTCAATGATTCAACAGTTTCAAGGATTCAACAGTTTCAAGGATTTCAGCAGTTTCAAGATTTCAAGAGTTTCAAGGACTTCAACAGTTTCAAGGACTTCAGCAGTTTCAAGGACTTCAGCAGTTTCAAGGACTTCAGCAGTTTCAAGGACTTCAGTGTAATCATGCAACCTAATAGGGATTTTTCCATGTAAACCAGTATAATGCAACTTAATAGAGATTTTTCCATGTAAACCAGTATAATGCAACTTAATAGGGTTTTTTCATGTAAACCAGTATAATGCAACTTAATAGGGTTTTTTTTCATGTAAACCAGTATAATGCAACTTAATGGGGATTTTTCCATGTAAACCAGTATAATGCAACTTAATAGGGGTTTTTACATGTAAACCAGTATAATGCAACTTAATAGGGTTTTTTCCATGTAAACCAGTATAATGCAACTTAATAGGGTTTTTTCCATGTAAACCAGTACAATGCAACTTAATAGGGATTTTTCCATGTAAACCAGTATAATGCAACTTAATGGGGATTTTTCCATGTAAACCAGTATAATGCAACTTAATGGGGATTTTTCCATGTAAACCAGTATTATGCAACTTAATAGGGATTTTTCCATGTAAACCAGTATAATGCAACTTAATAGGGATTTTTCCATGTAAACCAGTATAATGCAACTTAATGGGGATTTTTCCATGTAAACCAGTATTATGCAACTTAATAGGGATTTTTCCATGTAAACCAGTATAATGCAACTTAATAGGGTTTTTTTCATGTAAACCAGTATAATGCAACTTAATAGGGTTTTTACATGTAAACCAGTATAATGGAACTTAATAGGGGTTTTTACATGTAAACCAGTATAATGGAACTTAATAGGGGTTTTTACATGTAAACCAGTATAATGCAACTTAATAAGGATTTTTACATGTAAACCACTATAATGTAACCTAATAGGGGTTTTTACATGTAAACCAGTATAATGCAACTTAATAGGGATTTTTCCAGGTAAACCAGTATAATGCAACTTAATAGGGATTTTTCCATGTAAACCAGTATAATGCAACTTAATAGGGATTTTTCCATGTAAACCAGTATAATGCAACTTAATAGGGGTTTTTACATGTAAACCAGTATAATGCAACTTAATAGGGGTTTTTCCATGTAAACCAGTATAATGCAACTTAATAGGGTTTTTTTCATGTAAACCAGTATAATGCAACTTAATGGGGATTTTTCCATGTAAACCAGTATTATGCAACTTAATAGGGATTTTTCCATGTAAACCAGTATAATGCAACTTAATAGGGTTTTTTTCATGTTAACCAGTATAATGCAACTTAATAGGGTTTTTTTCATGTAAACCAGTATAATGCAACTTAATAGGGTTTTTTCATGTATAATGCAACCTAATAGGTTGCATTATACCACCAGACCAAGACCCAAACGAAGACTCAGACCACCACCAGATAATGACCACAGACCAGGTTTCCTTAGTTACAGGAACCAAATTGTTTCAGCGGTGAGGGGATTTTTCAGTTTCAAGGACACTTTCAATACATTCAGTAGTTTCAAGGATTTCAGCTGTTTAAGAATTTAACCAGTTTCAAGGATATCAGGAGGTTCAAGGATTTCAGGAGTTTCCACACTTTCAACAGTTTCCAGGTTTAAAAAAGTTTCAAGGATTTCAGGAGTTTCAATGTTTCAACAGTTTCAAGGATTTCAGGAGTTTAAAGGTTTCAACAATTTCAAGGACTTCAGGAGTTTCAAATATCTATCAAGTATTTTAACAGTTTCAAGGCTTTTTAAAGGATTTCAAGGATTTTTTTTAGCAGATTTCCACATTAGATCTGTTCCGCAGTCAATCGCAATGGCTTCAGCCATTGCAAGTTTCTAGTTAACAATTGTAAACCGCTTTGAGACTCAGATCTGCAGTGAAAAGGCGGTATATAAATAAAAACTTACTTACTAACTTACTTACTTGAACTTTGAAATCTTCTGGCCAGACACAAACAGTCTCTCATCATTCTATCTCTGTTTACATTTGCCAATTTTCTGTACTGGTTTTAGTGGAATGTCTTCTGCCAACATGGACAAACCTCTCTACAGGACCAGCTTTGGGATACAGTGGATTCTGGCACAATTTGGATAAAATGAGGGTCCAGAATCAGCGGAAGTGGAGTCTTGCGGCTCTTTTGGGGCCGAAACAGGAGCTCGACATCACAAAATTTATCACAAATTTTACTCCATTTACTGTGGGATTGACAAAACAAACCTGTAATAAGATCAAAATACAACAATGCAGCCTTTGTTGACCCATTTGCAGCAGCATGCGCCATATAAATAATTAGTGTGTTATTCGAGGGATAAAGCAGAACATGCAAAAAAATTCTTTGTTGTGGCGATTGATAGTTGCAGTGGCTGACACTGGCGTCAGATTTTCTAGATACAATACAATTTAATACAAATAAATAAACCATTGAAATCACCAACACAAATCAGGGAATAAACGGTTAAGGCACAAAAAGAATATGGAACATGTTGATAAATGTCCATACATGTTGTAGAATGTTAGTGTCCTGGATCATCACCACAGTCCTTCTAGTTGGACACTAACTGCCTGACAGACCGTCCTGCATCTGCAAGGAAAAACTCATAAGAAAACCCAGTGGGAAAAAAGTGAGAAACCTCGGGGAGATCCACACATTTAGATAGGGATCCGCTCCACACGGACGGACGGGCTGTAGATCCAGGACTCAGACTGTAGAACGAGGACTTACGCTGTAGATCGAAGATCTAAGCTACAGAACGAGGACCAGGGCCACGGAGCGGCAGCTGAACGTGAACAGGTCCGGTGCAGGACTGAAGCACTCCCAGGCGGGTCGGGCAGGGCAGTCCGCATGTGTAGATGGAGGAGGCCAGGTCCAGAGGTCCTGTCGTCGCACCATGAAACAGACAATGGGATAACGGGTGAATAGCAATGAACAAACTACAGTCAAAATGTCAAAACTAGACTTGACCAACAACAGAACGACGTGGTGACCTTGGGAAAATCCCTAAAAGGAAACATGCTAGTACTTAAAACACATGAGGTCGCGATTAAACGCACCTCCGCTGCGGTCAATCAACTCTTAGACGTTCTCCAACTAGACTACGCCCATACTCAGCTGACCACCCAACTGATGGAAGACATGCTACGTCACCTCAGTTCCTCGATCAAAAACCTAGCCATGGGCCGTACCTCGTGCCGCTATCGTTAGTTGAAGACATCCTAGCCGTAGCCACACGGGAAAAATTGCATCTA